GCATTCCTACCACCCCCTCCATCAAGGGACATCAGTGGAGGGTCCTACTAGGGAGCCTGAACTCCCATCCCCGCCCAGCAGTAAGGAGAAGCACCCGCTTATGTGTCAATGAGGTTGACAGGAAACCCAAACTTCTTCCTTAACCTGCCAGTCACAAAACAGAGCATCCCTTCTGCCAAGCAATGCCTATGGAAGCCAAGAGAGCAGAAGGTTTAAATAAGGTCCAGAATCTCATAACATAATACCCAAAAGGTTGAGATTCCACTGAAAAAAAATCACTCATCATATCAAAAACCAAGATCTCAAACAGAATGTAAAAAGAATCAATAGATGCTAACTCTAAGAAGACAGAACTGTCAGACTAACACTGGTAGAATTGATATTGTTTTAAACTTTTTAACATAAATGTAAGAAAACAGAAAATATATTTAAGCCATTATTGATGTCATTTTGAAGTAGTCTCTGCAGTATTTTGTTATGTCATAAATACATATAAAATACTTGTTGCTATTTTTAAAAATCCAAATGCACATGCTTATTTAGCTCATTAACTCATAGCTGGTCAAGAAATAAAATTTTCTGAAGTTTGGAGAAAAAAGCATAATCAGAAGGAACTTGGCTTACAAAATATCAAGTAAACTATAAGTTTCTAGTAATTAAAACAATTTAGAATAGTGTAAGAAGAGACAAAAGTTAATGAAAAAGTTCAAGTCCTACAATAACTGATGCAGGTTGAGAGGGGTATTTGGAATATGATGGTGGCAATAAAGTTTAAATTGTTCAATAAATGATTTGGGGAAATTAACTATCAATTGGGGAAAACATTCCTTTTGACTCCTACCTCACAACAATTTAATTCTAGCTAGAATATGCAAAAATTTACTTGAAGAAAAATAAAAACTATACACATTCTAGAAGATAATGGGTATCTTCCTACTCTTGAGGTGGAATGGGCTTTTATCCATAAAACAAAATTTAAGATGACATTAAAGTCTTCAGGACAGAACATATCTTGTGGTAAACTATGCCAGCATTAGGGAGTACAGGCTGAAACACAGTCTCCAAGAATGAAGAGAGACATGATTTTATAGCATTTGTGAAAAATAATGAAAGGTAAGTATGAAAACAATAGTGATAGTAATTTCAAGGTTGAAAGAATTAAAACCAAAGGAAATAAATATGAAACATCTAATAGACTGAAAGAAAACTTTCTGTTAACTTGAGTTAACAGAACAAAAGAGCATACAGAATTAGAAAGAACCAGTAATGTGTCAAAGATCACATTGCTAACAACTGGCTGGTCTTTGAATCCAGACCTGCCTTGCTGGGAAACTCATGTCCTTCTTATTCCCACATATGTATCAACTAACTAGCCATTAAGATGAAATCTCTGTTCATGTAATGTGGTACTGTGGATTGAATCCTAGATCAGAAAAAGGGAAATTTCTTGAAAAACTGGTGAGATCCTAATAAAATCTGGAGTTCAGTTAATAGTAACATTCCAATGTTAATCCCTTAGTTTTAATAATTATACCAGAGTTATGTAAGATGTTAATGTTAGAAAACTTGTTAAAAGGTCTGCAGGTGTGCAATTTTTCCGTAAGTCTACAATTACTCCACAATAAAAAAAAAGTGTGCTAAAAAAATAAATCTCTCAAAACTGGTGCCTTGGGTACTATCTTAAAAGTTGTAAGTAAAGAGATTTATTGCATCAAGTCAAATTTTAAGAAGGGCATTCTGTGCATTAACGACTGATTATAACAGGTTCACTGATGATTTTAAAAATAAACATCTGCTTCCATTACATAGCTTTTTTAAAAATCCTTCTTATTTAACTTTTCCATACCATTTTTCCTTTCATGTGGGTAAAAATATAGAACATTGTAAATAGTAGTCTTTAAAAACATAAAGTGATGTGGTTGTCATGATCCACTTTCCATTTCTGCTATAGATGTGACAAGGCTCTGGCCTTGTAACAGCAAGAATTAAATTTCGAGGACTAACACAACTGCCTGATTTTAGGAGCTGTCAGATTCTGAAAGAATCAGGACTTAGAAATAAATGAATCCTAGGAGAAGAAATGCTGAAGCATATAATTAAGTAGAAAACTCAGAGAAGTTTGACTAGGAAACAAAAAAGGGGAAAAAATATTGAGAAAGAGGGAGAAAAAAATCAAAATAAAGGGTATTAATGAAAATCAGGCTTACGGTGTCTCTAAGGAATTGAAACAATAAATTGTGCAATGGAAGAAATAGTAATATTAATAGTAATAATTCGGACAACATCACTGCCTCGCTCAGAGCCCCCCAGCGGCTCCTGTCACTCAAGAGCATGAGATGGAGCTCCTTGGGAACCTGGCTGACTGCTTACCCAGTGGCCCCCAAGGCTTCTCTGACTTATGTTCACTATTCACCCCCTGCCCCCTCCATCCCTCATCCCTCCATCCAGTCTCCCTGCTGTTCCTGAGGCCTCCAGGCCTTGGCACTTGCTGATCTCCCTGCCCTGGGATGCTCCTCTCCGAGATACCTCTGTGGCTCACTCCCCGGCCTCTTACAGGTTTTGTTCAGTACCAAGTTTTCATTGATGTACTACTATAAACACTCTATTTAAAATACTGACCCCTAGAACTCCCAATCTTTCCTACCATGATCTGATTTTCTCATAGCTGCTTCTACCATCTAACACTTTAGTTACACTGAATGTCTATCTTCCCCATCACTGGAATGTAAGCTGTCAGATTTTTTGCCTGTTTCTTTTTTCTTTTTTTCACTTACATTTCCCCAGTGCCTAGAATAGTGCTGGGCACCTTATAGGTGCTCAATAAATATTTGTTAAAATAATCAACACATAAATGTGATTTTTCATTACATCATTAAATAAGAGTAATAAAACACTCATAACTTTTCCAAAGGTTTTCCTTTTTTTTTTTTCGATCTATCACAGTAACCTTTCTTTGTCTGTGCTTTTGTTAAAGGCTCTAGCAAAGCCTAACTCACTCCATTTTGAAAGACACTAAAACGTTCCTTTTATGTTGCCCTCTAATTAGAGCTTTCTGAGTTTTAGAAATTTTGCCAGGAGCCCCCTGGAAACTATAGGTAAGGACATTCCATTCAGTTTGGAAGCACACAGCCTCCACGATGCCAGCAGGTCTGCCTGCCAGCTGTGGATTAACTGCTAGCCCCCTCCTGCCTCCATGAAGTTCCCCTTTAACGTGTGCTGTCTCTGACCAGCACTTGGGAGACGGTCTTGGGATGCTAGTCTACCTTCTTCCCAGGTTGCCAGCTTCTTGAATAAAGCAACCTTTCATTTTTACCTACACTCGTCTCAATGTTTTAGCCTTTCCAGCAATGAACAGCAGAACTTAGGTGCAGACCAGGCCACAGCTCTGTAACATTTTTTGGGTATTTTCTACACTGAACAATTATTTATATATTTTTAAAGGGGGATTTTATTTTACAAAAGACTAGAAAATTATCTGTGCAAAATGACTTCAACTCAGGCCCATTTACTGACTGAGTCAGAAAGATCCATTCTTTAGAGGCCTGTTTTTACCAGCTTCAATAACATTCAGTTATTACCATGAAAAGCTCCCCACCATAAAAACTTCCCATGGACACATGTTCAGTAGTATGATCCACTCAACAAGTGTAATCATAAAATTCCAACTTCCTCATTTTAAGATGAAGAAACTAAGACCTAGAAAAAGTAACCAAGTCTTCAATTAGGACAGATCAAGAAGCATAGAACAGGAGCTAGTGCGAACAAAGGATTGAAACATTACAGAATGGCCTAGCTCATAAACATTTTACAATGCAGTAAAAGTGCAGGTTGAAAATTTTCAGTTCACCATTTGACTAAACCTTCATTTTCTTCAACTTACTTCCACATGCCTGCTCAAAGATGCTGTGAGCAGTTGCTTCCCATTGTTGCGATACTCCATATTCTCTTCACATTGAGATTACTAACAGAGCAAGCAAGGTGGCTGCCTAAGTATTTTAGCATGCTCAAGGGCCACTGTACCTTCCAGAACCCGCTTAACATTCAGTCTCTTGCTCCAGCCCTTTGCATTTCCCGGTCGGAGAAGTGTGAGACCAGCATTTTCTACAAATTCCTTATTCTTCTCAGTAGAGAAATTGTCAATTAACTCTCATGAAATCAAATGGAAGCAGCCCTCAGGGTCTGAAAATGTGTCACTTTTCTTTTTCAAAACATCTAATTCTTATGCATAAATATTGCACATGTGCCACTGTTTTGTCATTAAATGGGGGAGAAAATCTAGCTTTCTGTATTTTTTCTCAGAGATAGCAGCGGCAGTTAATCCACACGTGTACATTCCCTGGGTCTCCAGACAGTCATCTCTAATGTAAGAGTGGCACACAGACAGATACTTTGGCAAAAGACAGTCTATAAAATGAAGTTGCTGTGGACCAAAACAGCCATATTGATTTCTAGTACAATTCAAAACATAAGGAAACATCCATTTTCTAAATGGCACACACTGAAAAGGACGGGGAGACACATAACTGCAAAGAGTGGAGAAGGAAAAGGATAAAAGGCCATTACATTAGCAAACATCTAACCATTTTTTTAGGTTGTTCATTTTGTTTAAGTTGGGAGAACTGAGAATCTTGCATTATGCTGAAATGTCCTTATCTGAAAAATCTAAGATTGCTTAGACACTATTCTCACAGCTGGAAGCCTGGGCATCCAACAGACCTTAAGAAAATAAAGCTTTAAAATCCTTTGAATGCTTGAGCATCCTCTTCAAAGCCCAAACAGTTTTTTTCTCAATTAATATATATCTCTCTCACTCTCTTGCTCTCTCAGCAAATGGCAGAGCCAATCTAAACTGCATTATAAACACATTATTTACCAAAACATCATTAAGTTTGCTGCAAGGAAATATTTTCCTTAGATATCCTTAATGAGACAAAGTGCCTTTCAAGCCAGAGACCTTCAGAAGGGAGGCTCAGAAGCAGGAGAGACCAGCCAGGACTTACCATGGCCCCCTCACTTCTTCTTTGGGCGACTTCCCGCTGCAGTCTGGCCACAGCCAACTTCTCCCTGGAGAAACAAAAGCACGTGATTAGCTGCCCATTCTTCTCAAGGCAGAGGTACACTGGCATGGCTTTGAAACATTCTTTTGAGGTCTCCAGAGGAACTCCTTCCTTGGTTTAGCCCACTTCCTCCACTAAACTTTCTATAAATATTTAAAGTGATTCGTCATTAGTACATTGTTTTCATTGAGTGTCATGAAAGAGATTTTTTGCCTTGGATTTATAATAGCCAAATAAATGATGAATGTCAAGTAAAAGCTTTGTTTTCAGTTCATTAACATATATCATTTGTAAATAAATTTTCCATAGCTAAAATATTTAAATTTGACCTGTCTGTATCACCTTTGCTCATATATAATTATTTTTATTTCTTTCATTGCTCTGTGTTGATACTGACCTTATAAAAAGCAAACAACTCTGAACCATTCTTGAAGTAATAATAATAGGAGCTCATTTGCAACCTTGATACAATAAAGGCACCAGGCTCAACATTTTATTTGATTTTACATGAGACTAACACCAACCCTACACCACTAAGTTCTATTATCCCCATTTATAGACATGGAAACTGGGGCTCAACAAACTGAGTCCCCAGCTAGAAATAGTTGTATTAGGACCAAACTTTAAGTTTTTCTTACTTCAAAGCCTAAGTAAAAATTTTGACTATTATTTTTCAGTGTCTAGGAAATAGATATGATTAAAAAGCAGGTTTAATATTCTTTATTTTACAATTGGGTTCATTTTGTATCCTTTACAATTGTAATTCTGATTTCACTTACAAAATAATCTAATCTTCACAAAAATTTTAGAAATGCTTTTTTTTAAAGTAATAGGTACCTGTATTTTGGACACCTTTTCAGTTATTCTTTTTAAAAGTTAACAGATGAAGTAGGAGCAAGTCAACTCTTCCAGTAATCCTGAAATCTTAGTTTTAGCAAGGACTGTCCCTGAAATCCCTCTATTACTATCAAGATGTGAGCTATCTAAGTTCAATTTCATCCCTCAGACATTCCCTTCCCTCCACATAGGATCAGCTAAATGCAAACAGTGGGAAAGCAAATCCATTCCCAGATGAGAGGATTTCTCCCATCCTAACTTCTTGGGTCTGAAATGTCTACGGCTTCCAAGAAGGCACGTGTTTCAGTATGGTGAAAGTTAATAAACTTTTTAGTAGGAGCAGCTCTCTCTGAATAAATACCTAAAGATACAGACCGGAGGAAAATTAGAACCAGGAGACTTTTGAGAGATACAAGTTTTGCCCCATGAGAGGGGACAACAAAGTGAGTAAGAAGAAGCCTGAAAGAAATGGAGCCAGGTGCAGTAAGCAAGGCAGAGTGTACATGTGTTCTCTGGCCCAGGCCCTCATGGACAAATGAAAGGAGAAAAGAATTGAATGGGAAGAATATGATGGAGCTCTGGCTTAATACGAAAATTAAACATGTATTCATAAGGACAAAACAAAGCAAAACAAAACACCATGAGAAGAACATACCCTAGCCTTTATTATTGAGCAACTGCACTCTGAGGTATAAACCCAACAGAAATGCATGTATATGTTCAATAAAAGACATATACTACAATAAAATTTTCATAGAAACACTACTATATATGATAGCCTGAAACTGAAAATATAGATACACGAGGACATTAGAATGAATAAACTTAGCAGCATTTTACATTGGAAAACTATAGAGTCCTGGGAAAAAAATAATCTATCCCTAATCATAACAACATACAGAATATCACATGCTGCTGAATGAAAGAAGCAAATGTAGGAGAGTATAAAGTTCATGGTTCCATTCATATGAAGTTCAAAGACAGGCAAAATTCCTACTTAATTTCAATAAGTCAACAAAAAATAAAAGATACACATATCAAAAAGCAAGAGGTAAAACTTTCTATTCAGAGATGACATAAATTTCTATATAGGAAATTCTAAGGAATTTGGAAAACAACTATACAACTATTAAGTGAATTTAGCAAAGTCACAGGATACAAGCAAATACACAAAAATCAATTATATTATATACTAGCATGAAAGAGGAAATTACATTTTAAAAATTCATTTATAATAGTGTCAAAAAACAAAATACTTAGAGAATAAATTTAACAAAAGACTTCTCAGACAGAAAACTATAAAACACTGCTTAGAGCAATTAAAAGGACCCTCATACATATGCATTACAAATCCCTCAAAGGGATCTTGAGAGCACCTAGCATTCTGGAACCACACTTTGTGAACTTTGCCCAGAAGACACAGAACTAGAAATGGAAGAATGTTCTGGAAAATTTCCTGGAATTATCATTCCTGATTGCTGAATCTTCTAAGACTTAATATATATGCTAATAGCATGTCAGCTTTCTACAAGAGCCATTTAACATAAAGAAGACATTTCTAGAACAGACTAAGAGTCTATCTTATCACTATCTTCCTACTAAATGATGGAAGAGTCCTAATACACTTTAAAGGTTAGAAACATCACTATTTTATCCTTAAAAAAAAGTTTTCCTTTAAAACGCTATTAGGAATTATCACACAGTACAGGTGCTTGTCGAATCTTATAAAATCCAATTGAAAGAAAATTCAATGGTTTAACCCATCAACATAATTTTTAAGGAGGAAAATATAAAGAAATCATGAAATTGTGTGCTCTGGCCACAGATTTTTTTGGCATTTAAGAAAGAAAAAAATATGAGAGAACCAACAAGAATGGTCATCTTCTAATCCATACCATGTCTGCCATTTGATTTGGTAAAAGAGTAAAATGTAGAAACTGGAAACTTAGGTTTGACCTACCACCATGTGAACAAATGTGCACCCAATATCAAAGAATCATGGGAAAGTATGTGGCACAAACATAGGGGAGCAAATTTTGCCACACCAAAATATGCTTCTTTGGCAAATTGATTATTTTAAGCGGACTATTTTTAAGAAACTTCAGACAAAGAGAAGCTCTGAAAACCAGGAGAAGTTACCCTAGAGATATTTGCATGTATTAATGAAATCTCTGTTTGTAAGGGTGTCTCCCTCTTGGTGCCAAGAGAGGGCTGAGCAAATCTCTGGAAACTCTTGTCATTGCAGAAGGCCCCGACAAATCCATGTAACAGCCTTGCTCTCATTCACTGTGCTTTTTTCCCAGTGACTTCTCATAAATGACTTGCCAACCTCAACACCTTCTTTTGTGTTAGATGAAGATGGTACTGAAGATGATTAAGATTTTGGGGGTATTCAGTATTCCTGGGTCTTTCCCACATGTACAGGAGTTATACATGTTATTAAACTTTTAATTTTCTCCTCTTTATCTGTCTCATGTCAATTTGATTCTTAAACCAGCTAGAAGAACCATGAAGGATAGAGGAAAAAATATTCTTCCCCAACACAAGCACGGAGAATCTCTAAGTCGTCCAGGTAACAGGAAAGACAACTCCCAGCTCTACCCCTGCAGCCTAGTGCTCCTCGTTTATAAGGTAGAAAATGTTTAAGTCTAGTTAAACTAGTCTAGTTTCGGGGGTTACCTGATTTGGAGTAGTTAGCTGTTAAAGGAGCAGAGTTCACAAGAATAACAAATATTAATGTGTCTTGAGGATCATGTTCTCTGTAATTGTTTTAAATCATTTAATCAGGACATGCAACATACATCATGGAGCAAAGATCTCTAAGGGTTCCAGGGTCTATGGGGTGGGGCAGGCAAGACGAGGGCCAGCTAAGGCCCATCACAGCAAGAGCACCCCAATTTTGAGCTATTTTATATACTGGGCTTCTGAATCCTATTTTCTTTAAAAAGAGAGTTTCAAGGCTAAAAAAAAAAAAAAATCCAAAACATGATCCTTTCCTGAGGTTCAATACTTTATATCTCCCCAAATCTTTCAATTTCTTAGTATTACATATATGAAAATACTGTCGGCAATTTTTTGGGTTTTTAGTGGGAATTGCAATTTTTTTGTATGAAAAAATAGTTGTCTTTATTTAAATTAAGGGATGGAGTTGTTCAATTGGTGAAAGCAACTATGCAGAAATTCTCAGAATTTCTAGATGTTAATTTGAGCCCAGAAATATTAACTTAATCATAATATTAAAATTAAAGGTTTCTGTCTTTTTTTTACCATAATTTCATTTTCCCTTGAGTTTGACAGTCCATTGGCAAACCATATCTACAAACCACCATGGTCCTAATATATATGTGAAACCAACTGGGACCAGCATCTTTTATATGCAAATTCAGGGTTCTAAAAAACAGCTTTGTTTAAAAAATGCAGAATCCTTGACTTGCATACTACCCACAGTAAATTCAACACACTCACATCCACATACAGTCCTGGACTATTTGAAGATCTTAGCTTGTCTGCTGGAAACTGACACTGTGCTTTTGCAACGCATCAAGGTTTTGTGTTCGTAGCAAAGCCAGTAGCTCATTATGGAAAGGGTTTGACTTTATGACTGCAAAACAAATGTCCAGGGATATTTTCTGAGAGCTGTGGAGCTTTACTTACAGAATAGGGGAAAAAAGGACATAAAGAATACACACACAATGAAACAAAAGAAACCACAAATACTTTTTCAGTTAAATGTAAAGAGAATTCTTTCCTCAGGGAGGAATAAAACAGAGCTATTTTTCTTACTCAATATCTTACCCAATTGGAGAATTTTCTAAGTTTCTAAAGTCTGTCAATTAGTTCTAGAAAATCTCAACTAAAGACGGTAACAACAAAATCATTTACATGAACCATGTATTTCAGAATATCACTGATACAACTGCAATTAAGCCCATGGAAAGCTTGTCCTGAGTGAAGTCAACAGCAGGTTGGCATTTGTAAAATCCAGGAAGACCTGCAAGGTTTGCATGTTTAGAAAAAACATGGCCCCCTAGAAGAAAGCAGCTTGCAAAGGGGGACTACACTCAGTCTGTGATGTGTGAAGACTCCACACTTCAGGGCACTACAGAGCCATCTGCTGCATGAGTGTGAAGGGCAGACCCATCTGGAGACAAATCAGTGTTCTATTGCCAC